ACACACACACACACACACACACACACACACACACACACCCAGGATCAGTGCCACAGGTGTGTTGTTCAAATACGTTTAAACTTTATTGCTGTCTGAGGAAGCACAACCTGCTGAAAGCAACAAAAACATCTGATAAACATGGACAAGTCTGGATTTCCTCCATCAGGTACCTTCACTGCTTTTAAGCTCCGGGCTTTTAGCTTCTTTAAAGACTGTGTTTTACTCTGAAAGGACAGAAGGGCTGATTACTTCCTTTCTGAGCTTCATGAGCTGCACTAGATCAAAGATAATATTTTTGCATCTTTGTGTTTTGGAGCAGCTGTGCATGATCCACAGTTGAAAACAATCCTTCTTTGTTTAAATGAGGCCTCAGCTCATGCTGTGTCTGAAACAAGCTGCTTACGTCAACCAGTGCGTCTCTTTTGTCCAGGCTTCAGAGACATTTTGCTCTGATTTTGGTCCTTGCTGATTAACTGCTTGAACCACAGCAGGAGAAACTGAACTGAAGCTCGCAGTAAATGCATCTTTCTGAAAATAGTCAGGCTGTAATTCAGACGCACAGCAGAGTAAACTCGTTAAACATCCGTTATGCTTTTCTGGACTTCACGAAGCTTTATTGGAGCAGATCCAGCAGACAAACACTAGACTGTTATTCTTACGTTTAATATCTAACATATGCTCGCGTGTTTGTCTAAAGCTACAGCAGATAAAACCAGTTAGTCAGTCCTGCTGGGCTCCCAGTCCAACCATAAGGGAGGAGCGCGGGCACGAGCCTCCCCCGTGTCCTCGTCGCTTCAGACCTCCGATAAGACGTAAGGACGTCTTCATCTTCACCGCGTTGTCCTCATTCAGTCAGCAGATAAGAGGCAGACTCGTCCCGCTGCTGCTTTGGACAAACGCTCGCAGAGCTTCCTGTGTTCCCGTGCCAGGCTCTCTGAAGGCCAGGAGGAGGAGGAGGAGGAGTGAGGAAGAGGTGCTGGTTGGTGCTCGTGTTTCCGGCCGAGCTTCATCAAACAAAACGGCTCTGTGAAGGACTCGCACTCAGACGTCACAAAACGTCATAAAACGAGACAGACTTACAGGAAGTGAGGGCCACGTTGTCTCCCATGAAACGAAAGGGACCCGAACACGGAGAGGTCAAAGTTCACCCTGCCTGACTGAAGCATTACAATGCCTTACTTATTGCAGCATGAGCGTCTCCAGCTGTTTCACAGTTGGCTAATCGGAGATGACACAGAGTGAATGTGTGATGTTTGTCGATCGTTGATGATGGTTTGAGCTCCTCGGAGTCGCAGAGTGGACCGTGGACTCCTCTGAGCACCAAACTGTTCTGGAGTCAGCGTGAGGCCGTACGACCCACACTGACGAAGTCACACAGAAACATCTCTGACCGAGAACCCGACTGCGATCAGCTGACGAGGCTGAGCGCGCACTGTTGGCCTCGCGGGCTGGTATCTGCAGTCATGTGACCTGCTGAACCACATGAAGGCGCTGGTGTTTGAACCGCACGCTGTAATCTGCAGGAGTTTCACTTTGTGCCTCTGCGTTTGGAGGAGGGCCAGCACGCCGCTTCCGGCCTCCACGCGGCTCTGCGGCGCCCCGTCCTTTAGGGCTTTGTTTTACACGCAGCTGGGAAACAAAAAGATGTGAGCCGCAGCCTGCAGACGTCTAATCATAGACGCTCGCAGCGGGCGGCTAATTTTAGCTTCAGTTTTTTTCTTTTACAACAGATCTACTTTCAGGATCCACTTCACCATCCCAAACCAGACCGCTGAAATCTGCAGACTCCTGCAGAAAACCTCCTGCTCCTCCTCGCCGTGCATTCTTGTGGCGGCTGATCCGCAGGACGCCGACGTTTCAGCTGAAATTATAAAAAGCAGAAGCCTGCAGCCTTTGCTGGGACCCGGCCACGCCTCGCTCCACAAACATAAAGTTAAAAATAACTCTGGACAAATGTGCAGCAGATGATGAAGAAGCTGCCGGGGGTCGGTGTGGATGTCAAACCTGCCTCGTTAACGTCTGATCACGTTGTCAGAGAGTGTGTGTGTGTGTGTGTGTGTGTGTGTGTGTGTGTGTGTGTGTGTGTGTGTGTGTGTGTGTGTGTGTGTGTGTGTGTGTGTGTGTGTGTGTGTGTGTGTGTGTTTACAGAGGAGTTTAAATGGTTTTTCTGTGACCGATGTTCTAATTTAATTTTAACTTTCAATCATTAAATAATCGTTTCAGTAATAAAGACCAATGTCACTCCTATTTCAAGCCCAGAGATTAAACACACTGCTGTGTGTCCCACCGGAGCTTCTCGTAAAACATCCTGCGCACAGATCGTTTGGCGTCCTGGAGAGATGCTGGTGGGAAGCTTCCCTGCTGACTGGAGCCAATCAGAACCAGGGGAAGCAGGTCTGCAGCCGCTCGTCTTCAGAGTTACGTTGCTGCATCAACACGTCAGTGAAGCAGCAGTAAGTCGGACTGCTATCAGTCTGCAGTCGATTGGAGTCAAGTTGGC